CTGTTCTACTGACCTGTGTGTCTATTTTTGTGCCGGTACCATATTGTTTGGATTACTACAGATTTGTCGTAGATCTTGTAATCTGGGATTGTGATACTTCTAACTTGGTTCTTCTCTCTCAAGATTGTTTCGGCTATACAGGGTCTTTTGTGGTTCCATACAAATTTTAGGAGTATTTGTTCTAGTTCTGAGAAAAATGCTGTTGTATGTACCAATACTTTACCTTAGTCTTGGTTTTTATATCTTAAAGAGTTTCTTCTTTTCTACTGCTTCAGAGTATTCCACTGTAAGACTGAACTATAGTTTATGTAATTTTAAGCATGGACATTTAGATTATTCCATCTTTTGATAAAGTTGTAATAACTTTAAATATAGATCATTTCACACATGTGAGTACATCTGTGGAATAGATTTCTAGAAATGGATTTCTTAGCAATATTTATATTTTCATTTGTTTTTAAGTTTCCTTCTGGGCCCTGCTTTGTCACTTTCCATCTATTCTTGACTATTAACTGTCTTCATCAGGGTGAGATTATGTCTTTTGTAGTTTACTATTTTTTATTTTTTAGTAGGAATATGGATTCTTTTTTTATTATGTTATGTTAATCACCATACATCATTAGTTTTTTATTGTAGTTTACTTATTTTTAATGGGATCTAGGGAAACACAGGAGATAAACGGCTGTGTTTGACTCTCCTGCTTAACCAGAAATTGCTAAGGCCCCTCTTCTGACAATGCTTAGAGAACTCTGGGTTAACATTTTATCTACAGAGGTGTAGCTTGAAAGGCAGCCTGGCTATATTGCCGTATTCAAGTTCTTTTTTGGTCTCTGGCACACCTGGAAGTTGAAGGTGGTAAAACATAAGGCTTAGACTTGGGCGTTGGGGCATTATGCTAAGCTTTGAATTTAAAACTGGTTCACCAAAGTTCTAATAATTAGTTATTTTCCTTTGTTACCCCTTATAACTTCATCCTTCCCCAACATTTGAGTTCTCCTAGAAGCAGACTTGAGTCAAGAATTTGAGCGCAAGGACTGTATTTGGAAGATGATCTAAGGAACTAGCAACAGGGAAGGGAAGAAAGCGAGTAGGTGTGTGGTCAAGAACATTACACTGTAAGTAGACGGTACTTGTGATCCTGCTGAGAGACTGCTCTGGTAAAAATACAACACACACACCTCAGAGTTATCCCACCCAGAGGCCCCGGGAGCTCAAATATGCCAACTCCTATTCTTCTTGACCTAATGACCTAATGAGCTAGAACCTAAAATTCAACTGAGGTTTCTTGAAGGTGACAGGGTGAGCAGGGGAGTTGTCTAAACAGAGCGAAGTTGCAAGGGCCCGAGGCTGGGTAGTGGACATGTGCTGTGTTCTGGTTAACTAGAAATCAATTCTTTCTTCTGAGACACTGCAATTTTGAGGGGATAGCTGGCCCACGGTGTCGTCGGTGTCGTCTTGACCGTCAACCAAGCTATCTTGCCCTCCCGAGGAGCAGCGACATGAGCCAGGCCATGCCAATCTCGCCATGTCAGGAAAGGGGAGAAAATCAGCACTAAGACAATGCCGATGAGCACCTGTTAGAGGGTCCCCCATGCTGGTTTCTGCTTCTTTAGGACCATTCTATTCTTCCAGTGAATTCCATTTTTGTTCAGAGTAGACAAAGTTAGTTTCTATTTTTTACGAAGAACTCTGAGGAAGGCAGGAAGAGACATTAACATGTCCCAGAAGTTTTTAAGAATATTTTTGCCACATCTTAGTAACATCTACTTCTCATCACAGATCCTCTCACCATCTCCCATTAAACTTGTCTGTGCTCCTATATAGAAAAGCAATTAATTTAAGGTGATTTTAAAATCTGGCCACTTAATTTGTTTCTAGTCGCTCTTGGGACTTTCTTATGTAAATGAGTTCTTTTTCCTTTCCATAATTAGCCTTCTTTGATTTGACTGCACCAGGCTGAGACCTCAAAAATAATTAGTAGTAATTGTGGCCCATTCTTCTCTACTTCGTGACCTTACAATTGTTTCTAAAGCTTCAGCATTAATCATTCACCATGTTTGTTAGGCGTAGGAAGATAGCTTTTTATCAAGTTAAAACTTCTTTTCCTGGCTTAGCTGTTACATTTTATCGATGCTATTTTATTAGGATTATGGGCTTTCTCCCCCTTCAATGTGAAGAATTTCAAGTGTGTACTAATACTAAAACAATCTCGCATCCCTGGGATAAACCCCAACGTGGTCATCATGTTTTCTTTCAGTATATAACTGGATTAGATTTACCATTTTATTTAGGGTTTGTCCATTTGTATTACCAGGGCTCTTGTTTCCCCCTGCTCCAAACCCTTTTGTGGGCTATCCTGGCCAATTTAGTATGTAATACTGACCTTATAGAATATGTTGACAAGTTCAGTCTAATCCAGGCTTCACACGTAACATTTTTCCAGCTGATTCTTAATCTGTTGCCGTTATCCTTACAGAAGCTCCCCTGAATTTTTTAAGTCAACTTCAAATAAGTTATGCTAACTTGCCAGGCGTGACTGACCCCTGACCGTGTCTTTAAGGCATTTCATTGAGGTGTTCTGACATTTGATACCTAATTAAAAATCAGACTCATCATCTTAAGTAAATTCTTCCAAATTCCCCATCATCTAGGGTTACAGTTCCCAGGTCCTGGAGACTTAAAAATCTATCCCCAAAACCATGCCAAGGTCCTCAGGCAACTGATTTGCTTTCTATCAAGATTCTAGTTTTATTTAAATGGAAGCAAACAGCAGGTACTCTTATCTGCTTTCTTCCACTCAACATCATTTGAGATTTGTCCATGTTGTTTATGCCAACTGTTAACTGCTGAGTGGTATTCCACTGTATGGATATACCACCATCTATCTGTTCATCCTTTCCTTTGCTGGTGGACATTTCGGCTACTACAGATAAAACTGAGAATGTGCCAACTAGTCTTCATGTGGACATATGCTTTCATTTCTGTTAGGTAAACACACCTGGGAGTGGAATGGCTGGATCCTAAGGAATGTTAAGTTTAGCTTTTAATAAATGGCCATTTTCACAGCATTTGTAGTACTGAACCTGGCCACCAGCAGTGCAGGGAAGATGCCCTGGCTTCACGGCCTTAGTATGTCGCCACAGTACGGCCACATTTCTGTTCTGCAAACTGCCTTCTGACAGGTCAGCAGCAGCTCACTGCAGGCTTGATTTGCGTTTCCCTAACGACTGAGGCTGCAGGCATCTCGTCACGTGCTGGTCCGCTGTATACACCCTTTGATCAAGTGTCCAAATCTTCCCCATTTTAAAAGCTACGCTACTTACTGAGTTTAAGAGTTCTTTAGAGATACAAAGCTTTTGTTGGGAGATTTTGCCAAATAGTTTCTCTCAGTCTATGGCTTATCTTTTCATTCTCTTCATTCAAAGAGAAGTTTTTGATTTTTATGAAGTTCAATTTACTATAGAATTTGTACTTTTTGTGTCCTTTTTGAGAAATCTTTGCCACAACCAAAGTCACTATAGTTTTTCCCTTTATTTTCTTCTAGATTAATAGTGATAGCTTTTACATTAAATTGTAAAGTCCTCAGTTCCCTTTCCCCTTTGCTCCACACCACCAAATCCTGGCAATCCATCTTTCGCATTTTCCAGAAATACTTTCTATTCGCCAGGTCACCCTCTTGTGCTTAGCTCTCATTCATTCTAATAGCCTCTTGGCTGACTGCCTTCTACCCTTAACCCGTAATATTCTTTAAATTATTTTTTACATTTTTATGCTAAAAAACACTTAGCATAAAATGTATCATCTTAATTTGATCTTAGGCTAGTGGCCCATACCTAAAACAGAGAGCTGCATGAACATAGCAGCCTCACGCAGTGACTTGAACATAACTCCAAGTTCAGTTCCGCATCCACACTAGCCCCATTTCACGTGCTCAACAGCCACGTACTGCTCACTGGCCATCACGCTGGGTAGCAAAGGTATTTCCAACATCCCAGTTTTTTAGACAATGTTGCTGTACATTAATATCACTTCCATTTTCAAAGCATTTAGTTCAGGCACTGAAGTAGAAGCTTTAACCCTCAACATTGAGGTAGACTAACTCAATATGAATATTCAAGTTCTGTAAGGATAAATACACCTTGCCTAAAGGAATCCTTTAAAGCTCAACAAGCTCTTTATTGCCAATCTATATAAAAAGTGCTTGGTATGCTTCTCAAAGAACATATTCCATTCTAAAGCTATGTACTTTGTAAACAATTTCCTTTCTCCTGTTCTTCATTCGAAACAGTACATATGGGAAATCCCTAATTAATCCACCTTTCTTATTCCTCAATATATACTGTGTACTACAACATATGTGAACAGAAAATTTCACAACCCTTGGCTTTTTCCCTGTATCTAAGTGAATGTATACCCCCCCTGGAGAACAATCACCCAACATTTTAAGTTTCCAAGAAGAGTCTGATTATACCAGCCAACTGGGCCTTTTCCTGGCTACTCAGATCCACGTGGGGAGCGTCCAATACTAGATTCTCAAACTCCACAATCAGAAGTACCGAGTAAGAGTACGTGGAAATCAACAGTCCCTACAATGAGCTTGAGGTACAACCAGACTTGAGAGTAAAAACCTCAACCATCTCAGTCTTGAGATAAAAGATTCCTGGCTGGCTTGGTCAGCAGAGCAAGCAACTCTTGATCTTGCGGTCGTGAGTTTGAGCCCCATGCTAGGTGTAGAGGTTACTTAAAAAAAAAGGATAAATTCATTTTCTCCTTGTTTCCTCCAAGATAGCAGAGCAACAGAAAGAAAACAATATAAAACCATAGAAACAGACACACTTTCTCTAGCCTGGTTATACTTCATTCTTCCCAGATACACACATTGCTCAACAAGAGACTGAAGTTTATTTATCATACACAAGTCATGTTTGACCACTGAGAAAAGGCTATTTACATAAAACATCAATAGATTAAAAATACATAGTATTTGTATTTTAATACAACGGGGGTCCCAGGATTCAAACAAGGAGGTCTGATTCCAACTCTGCAGTACACAGTTGTCTGCTCTGCTACCAAGAACTCTAGTGGAGGTAAACTCTGGCAGTAAATTTCTCAAGTCAGATAAGCATGCCTTTCACACACACGGTTTTGCATCTGTCAAGGAAGACACAGCATCTTCAGTACACGTACCAACATCTGGGGCTTCCACGTCCGAGTCCTCACCGGTTTCCTCTTCCAAGTCACATTCCTGACTGTTTGGTGATTCAGAGTTATCCAGAGGTTCCTCATGCAGTCTCTTTTGAAAGAATAAACCAACAATTTACTGTAAACACTGTACAGGCCAAGTCTGCTAGCAGTGTGCTGGTATCACTGACCCTCAATGTTCTAAAGAGGTCCTTTTCATGAAGTCTCTCAATTACATTCACTGACAGTCAGGTGTTCTATCGAGGTCTCCACCATGCTAGATCCCACTTCAGCGAAGTCACAGTGCCTAACAATTTGCTCACCTTTTTAAAGCCCATGCTTTCACAGACCACTCGAGTCAGTGCTTCTCAAGCTACCTAGAGTGAAGGACCAGGTTTTCGGATTTCCAGTCTGCGGTGGACCAACACACTCATGACAGCTGGGAGAGCTATTACAGTACTTCCAAGTGAAAACTTTAAACAGTAAGTCTGTCACGGCTTTCAAATGTAAGCAATTCAGTCCAAGAAAAGCTAATATTTGAAAACCTTTCTTCCTATCAGCAAAATGATTTTTCGAAAACAGGAATAAGTTTAAGACCTATTTTTTAAGTCCAATACTGTAAAATAACAGTCATCATGCTTCTTTTTCTTTAAAGATTTATTTATGAGAGGGAGGGAGGGAGGGAGGGAGCCCACAGGGGGAGGGGCAGAGGGAGAAGGAGAGAGGAACTCTAGCAGACTCCTTGCTGAGTTTGGAGCCTGATGCCAGGCTTGATCTGAAGACCCTGGTATCATGACCTGAGCTGAAACCAAGAGTTGGACGCTTAACCGACTGAGCCAGCCAGGTGCCCCGCCCCCCCAGCCCCCCAACCCCAGGCTAATTCTTATAAACACATTAGCTTCTTTCAAATAAAACGTCAGATAAGACCACCAAACTTTAGTGTACCAATTATCAGTTTTATAAATGAGGGTAATGTCACACTGGCATTCGTTATATTAAAACCCGTCAAAAAACTTGTCAACTGTGAAAGAAAAATTTTCCGTATGTAAGTAAATTCCTTTTTATATTTCTACAAGAAAATAGATGTTCTTTTGCTTCATAATAATAATAATAATATCTAACAGTCATTGGGGCTCTTATGGGCAGGGACTTGTCTCCACTTTCATCGTTAGAACTCATTATTCTCATGACAAGCCTACAAAGTGCACAGTATTACTCCCATCTTACAAATGAGGAAGATGAAGCCCTGACAACATACATAACCTGCTTGACTCAACAAACGTGATGGTGCTGGACAGGGAGTGAAGACTCACACCCAGGAAATCTGATTCCAGAGCCCGCACACTTACTGACACTGCTACCTCAAATGATGGAAAAACAGAGGCGGCTTCTGAGTCAGGTGAGTGTGCAGATACCTACCTCTATCACCTCTGCCATATACTGTACGTGCTCTGCTACCTCTGCCAGTTCTTTGTTTTCCTTCTTCAGGCGGGCAATCTCACTGTCCTTTTGTTCAATTTCTTTGTGAAGCTATAGGACATAAATAAAGTTCAGTATTCCACAGATCTGCTATGCGAGAAACCAAATTACCATGCCTCCAAGTCTGTAACTGAGACTAACCGACGACACATTTGCACAAAGTTCCTAACAACGGTGCTACCTTTGGCTCTCGATGAGCTCCTCTGGTGTGGTAACAGAGCTCCCTTTCTAATTAGGCTTGTCTTAGACCAACATTAAAGCTCGTTTATATCACTCCAACCAAGCAGAAGGAAAGTAATCCTGGAACGTTAAAGACTGCCACAGATTATAGTCAGTACATACTTTCTCATTTTCCTTAAGTGCTTCATAGAGCGCCTTCCTCCGTTTTTCTGCCACTTCTTTCCAATATTGAGAGGATGGATTTTCTAAAATAAATTAATGTTTTCATGTAAACCTTGAAAATATTATACTATTATATGCTGCTGTAAAAACCCAGTAATTTTTCTACAAGAAAAAAAATGTTCCCACAACGCTTTATAGAACATCACCAGCTTCCTCTGTTGATTTCCACTGCCATTCTGATTAGAACTAGAATGAACGACAGGCTCCTTCTGGCTCAGCCACGTTGCTGCTGGCTCCCTTCATTTTCTGCTATATGCAAATTCCTTTCTTCAAAATCATTCTCTAGATACTTTCTTTTGAAAAGACAATTTCCAAGTCTTGTGACACTTAAGACAATCTAATGTCAGAGCTGTCATATTAATCACTAACCTTTTCTTTAATATTTCATCCATATTTGGATCTTACCAAACAGTAAAGCCTGTTCACACTATATACCATAAGAAATTTTCAACTATCTAAACATTTGAGTAAAATATCTAATAGAGTCTCCAGATTAAGAGGCTGTGGGCAGGATTCATAACAATACAGTAAGTGATTTGTTATTTTAATATTTAAATACTTAAATATCAAATTAGTTATTAATAATTTAAATTTATCATAACTAAAACATTTAAGAAAAGTTATACATTTTTTCATACCTGCAATCATAAGATCAAATGCTTCTTGAGTAATTTCACTAAAATTTTTATTTTCACTATGTTCTGGGACAAAAACAACTCCAGAGCTGGAAGCCTTAGATGTTAACTGGTCGTTCCAATGTTTCCTTTTGGACAAGGCTTTAACCAACTATAATGAAAATACATACATCAATCTCATTTATTTTGATTTAATGAACAAGAAAGTTGGGTGGTTTTATCATGTATGTATTAAAAACAGAGCACTCACATGTCTGTTTGAAATCTTTGGATCTTTTAAAAGAATCACACAAATTTAAAACTCTACCAAAATGTAGATATTTTTTAGGAATTTTATTTGCAGCAACTATCCTAGATTAGGCTTAGGTCTAAGGCTTAGCTGAAATTATTTTTTTTTTGTTTGAATAACTGAGTACTACAGAAAAGCAGTATTTTCAAACCCTTTACAGACAGGGGTAAATGGATGACTGTGACATTTTATTCCCAATACAGCAAACGTTATTCCTGAAGGCTAATCCATAATGTTTTACATCATCCCAGTGCCACTGCAGGTCTTCATACCAATTCTTCATACCTAAACTGAACCATCAATACAAAAACCATTTCTGTGAGAAACACACAACTGTCATTCTTGAATTATTTCCAAGTTTCAATGATCTAGGCATCTCTGGATCAAGGAAATCTTGGAAAGGCCTTTAATGTAAAGTTAGTATCATTTGTACCCCATTCTAGCCCGATAACACATACCTCATTTTCTCTTCCAACAAGTGATCCAGCTGCTGAAGGCTGAATCATCTTCAGAGTTCTTCTTGGCACAGGACTATTCTAAAAGTCAATGAAATTTATTATCTGGTTACTCAGTTGCTATATGGGTTATTACTCTCGTACTCCTACTATAATTTAGGAAAATGGAAACACTAAGAATACTAGTATTTGGTCTGCTATATAATATTAAATATGAGCTATTTCTCATATTGGTTCTTTCAACTAGCAAACTTGTTATTTCCCTAAAATTATAATAAAGTTTAAAGAAAGCCTAATGGATCACATTACCCAAACTTGACACAAGTAGCTTTTCTCCTTCCATTTCAATACATGCTGTATTATAGTCATCTTGTTAACTAATCATATCCAGTTAAAAAATAAACAAAATTTCTAAGCTCTAATACTTGAGACCATATTTGATGAAACTGCAGTACAACAGGAATATTGTATTCCCTCTTAAAAACATCTGCCGCACAGAAACTAGAAACCAGACATCATTTACAGTAGAAATCCGCAAAAGGGGTAAACTGGGGGAAAAGGTTATTTACACTGCAAAATATTTCTTCCCCTACTCAAAAAGATTCATCCCAGACTTCCTTTAAATAGTGACTATCCCCTAACACATGTGTATGTATTCACCAAAGGAATACAATTTTCAAGAACATACCTTATACAGAACCAAATACTCATCTAAGAGGACCCCCCCCGCCCCAATCTTCACCTGACTGCAGAAGCGATTTTGCGTCAAGCCCATTCATTCATTAGGAGATGGCCACAAAGTCAGTGCCAGAAGCACACAAGAATACTGTGAATTTGCCCACACTACTGTTTTGGAAAAAACACAGCCTTCCTTATAACACGTAAATAGCTTCCCATCTATTTCCTGATCTGAAAGCGCGCTCTCTTTTTGCAAAAAATCATTAGTTATCCTGCCACCATGGGATAGCAAACAATGGTGAACACTCAAACAAGGGCAGCAAGAACATGACACCGAAGCAGCGTGGGAAAGTTTCTGCTTCCATGCAGTACTTCACAGGACGAGAGCTCACCTTTCCCACGGTACAGTTTCTACTGCCGATTATTATCTCACAATTGAACTGAAGAACAAATGCCAACTACTCTGAGAACAAATATTACAACAACATTTCAGATGTAATTTAGATTATAGATTAGTCAACAGCCTCCAGACAAACAGAAGAAAACCTAACTCTGGACCCTTAAGAATAGGAGGTGTTAATTTATTTAAATGCTTGCTACTAATAATGGCCAAAGAAGCCAGATAAATCAATGCCACACACAAAAAAATGGCCATTTTTAAGATTAACTTTTGTACATGTAAGCTTGAAGCACTCAGCCCCCAAGATGGAATATGGCTATTATCATTTTCTTCATACAGATCATGCATTGGAATAACAGACTCTTTAGAGCCAAGAGGTTCAGGTTCTTAGATATTATAGGTCTTAATTTAGAAAACCATTTGGGATTCTGGGAACCCTTCTCTCAAAAAAAAAAAAATGCACACAAGAGCACTACTCACATGGGAGTTTTGCGTAACTGGTAGGAAATCCATGAACTCCTATAATTCACTCTCCTAGATCTAGTTTTAGTCCAATCTCTTTCTTTTACAGAGATGTAAACTGAGGCTAGGATGCTAAATAATTCACCCAACGTCAGAGCTGTGGAAGCTAAATCAAGAACCAAACAGAACCCAGTCCTTTTATATCCAAGATAGTTGTACTCTAGCTAGTACACATTAGATTTTTCTTTAGATATAAGGATCTGCTGAAATGATATAAACTGTCTGGGATCTGCCTCAAAATCATTAGGTGGCTCAAGGAGGAGTGAATGAAAATGTAGATGAAACAAGATTAGCCATATATTGATAACTGTTGACAATTGTGAAGTTAAGATTATTATATTATTGACTCTATTTCTGAATATTTGAAAATTTTCATAAGAAAAAGTTTAAGCGCACACACAAAGCTCAGTGGGAAGATGTCATCATCCTAAATGGAAAGGGATGGACTCAAATTATCAATGCACAGTTATTATTTAAGAAAAATAATGTAAGGACACTAAGGCAAGGTAAGCCATCTATCAGAAAGCATCTATCACTTATGAAAGGCTTTTATTTACTCTATTTAATTTAAATCTGCAAAATGATAGTTTTCCTGAAGATGTGGTCTCATTACCGGGAACCCTCACCCTCTAAGTTGTGTGGCAGAACCTCGTCAAGTTGTAAATTCATTTAGAACCTTAAGAGCAAATCAAAGTTACAAATTCAAAATTAAATCTGTTCTTATTGTTATACGAATAAATATTTGGGTTAAGATTTCCAGTGATGGCATCATATTGGGATTCAAAAAGTAGAGCAAAACCAGCAGGTTCGATGGTAATGGGTATGATCTTCTCTGGACACACGTGCACTGTAATGCAAAATGTGTCTCTAGTCACAGACACCAATTCTCAAGATACAAAGGATTTTAATAAAGTCATTTTATAAAATGTAGGAGCGGAAAGAAAGCAACCACAATCTTATTTACAGAGAATCCTAAGGAATCTACTAAAAAACTACTAGATCTAGTAAGTTCAGCAAAGTTGCAGGATTTAAGATCAAATTCAAAATGCAAAAATCAACTGTTTTCCATATAGTAGCAATGAACACAAAGAAAATTTAAGAAACAATTCTATCTACAGTAGCATTAAAAATACTTAAGAAAAAATTAAGCAAAAGGAGTATAAAACTCAATACTCTGAAAACTACCAAAACATTGTTGAAAGAAATTAAGACCTAAATAAACGGAAAGAGATTCCACGTAATGGGATCATAAAACTTAACTGTTCAACCTTAATTTTTTTAAAGTTCTCTAGTGTTACTTGTCTTCTGGCTAAAAGCTTGGCACTTCAAAGTTTATAGAAACGACAGCCAGATTAAATTTAGTTAAATTATGTCAAAATGCTTCTAACCACAGGCTTTGTTCAACAAATGAAAGTGATTCTATCACATACCTTTACATTCTCTTTGATTCCTTCTTGTTTCTGCTTCATACTTGGATTCATTATACACCTGGTGAAGTACAAAAAACTAGTAATTCATATCATAAACAGAAAGTGGTTTGCACCCGAAGGTGGAGTTTAGATTTTTTTGTTGTTGCTGAAAGCATTTACAAGTATTTACAATCACAGAACTCATTACTACAGTAAAACTACAATCTTTTCTCACTGTACCCAAACTCAGCCCCATCAATGACTACAGTGACTGAAGTTAGTTGACTCTTACTATCTATATTACATACACACAAACAATAATTCTGGTTAGAAACATCTTGTTACAACAGGAAAATTAGGTATTCTAAACAAATTCACAGAACACTGTGGTGTCCTGGATTAAACAGAGGACTCAAAAAAATCTGAGAAATGGTCACCAGGTATGTGGGTATACTCAAGTCTGTCCTAAAGAATAGCATTCTAGTTCTCCCCGGGGCGGCCGCGCAGGAGGGAGGCCGAGATGGCAGATGAGATCGCCAAAGCACAGGCCTGCGCGGCCTGGTGGCGACACGATCTTCGGGAAGATCATTCGCAAGGAAATCCCAGCCAAAATCATTTTTGAGGATGACCAGTGTCTTGCTTTCCATGACATTTCCCCTCAAGCACCAACTCATTTTCTGGTGGTACCCAAGAAACCTATATCTCAGATTTCTGTAGCAGAAGATGATGATGAACGTCTTCTTGGACATTTAATGATTGTTGGCAAGAAATGTGCTGCTGATCTGGGCCTGAAGAAGGGTTATCGAATGGTGGTGAATGAAGGTTCAGATGGGGGACAGTCTATCATGTTCATCTCCATGTTCTTGGAGGTCAGCAGATGAATTGGCCTCCTGGTTAAGCATGTTTTAGGGATAATTTTCCCTTCTCTGGGCAATGGTCAATATTTCCCAGTTCCAGTATGTTAAACAGTATACTTACTTTTGTCTGTGTATGGAGAGATTGAGGAAATAATTTTTAAAACCCATACATAATAAAAGACAATGTTGCATGGTTTAAAAAAAAAAAAAAAAAAAAAGAATAGCATTCTAGGGGCACCTGGGTGGCTAAATCAGTTCAGCAGCTGCCTTTGGCTTGGGTCATGATCTCAGGGTCCTGAGACCCAGCCCTATGTTGGGCTCCCTGCTCAGCGGGGAGTCTCCTTCTCCCTCTGCTTCTGTCTGCTGCTCCCTGGTTCTCTCTCTAACAAATAAATAAAATCTTAAAAAATAAATAGCATTCTAACTTTGCTGTTTCAAAGGCAGTTTTAAGCTATAATATAATTGGCTCTGGTAACCAGCAATAGGTCTGCAGTGATTTAATATCGGATCTAATGAGATTACGTATTCACATTGGTAGGGAATGTTTAACCATCAGAAGCAAGGAAGAGGGAGCAGAAGATAAAGGGATTACGCAACGTGGCTAACCAGACCACTGGGCCAGACTCGCTCCAAACCCAACCTCCGAACGTCCTGGACAGGTCTGCGCCTGCCAAACATCTCCTTGATTGCTGCAGATTATGCCTTTACTCGGTGCAGCGGCTTTCAAACTTCGACTATGACTCACCTCCTGCTCATACATTTACACCGTGCCCTAGCACAAGCACAGACGAGAAAGTTTAAACCAAAAAACCCCTAATGGTGCGATGCACCCTATTTTCACTTCTATCTCATGTTAAGCAAATGCTGACGGGGACCCACTAAACTGAGCAATGTTTTCTCAAACTGCACGTCGCAGCCCGGGATCCCCAAATCGTTTACTTGGGTCTCCAACACTGTTTAGAAAAATGGAACTGAAGAGACGAGAAAATACCGAGTGCACAGCATGTGAGGCCCAAGTACGGCCTCGTGAAACTTCTCGTTCCCTTGTCTGGCTGCAGCCCGAATTGCGATGTACAGTGAGCTTCAGTAAGGGCCATGGTTCAGACAGGTGGCAGCCCCTGACCAAGCGTAAAGCGTAGTCTTTGCTAGGTCTATCACACTCTGGTCGGCAGCCCAGCACAGGGCGGGGTCCCCAGGAGACGCCCATGAACGGGACACACCAGCGTCACCAACCGCGGGTCGTTTTCAGTGGGCGACGCAGGACTCCGCAGGTTCCGCCTCACCCCGACAGCCGGGCACAGCGAGCTCCACAACGCGGCGGGCCGCAGCTCCCACCGCAGGCCGGGGGTCTGCGGGACTCGGGGCAGCGCGCCGGGGCTCCCACCGCGGCGCACGCGTCCGGGACGCGCCCGCCAACCAATCGGGAGCGCGGACGGGAGAGCGCGCCAAAACCGACCCAGCCAATGGGGCAACCCCTCGTCCGGGGACCCTGCCTCCCCCGCGCTCCCCGCAACGTCCACTCCGACCCCGGCCGCGGCCCGGCAGCCGTCAAAGAAGCGGCCCCCGCGAACCCACCTCTCTCACACTTATCGGACGGGCGCGCTCAGTCCTCGTAGCGGACGCAGGGAGCTGTGGCGGGAGCACCTCGCACACGGTCCACCGCCGCTGGGAAAGCTGGCGAACTACGGCGCCTTGCCGCGACGGCCACGTGACCAGCTGACGCCCGACGGATCCCGCGAATCGCCTCCCGCCTCCGCCCCTTCGGCCCCGCCCCTTCCTGCGCCTGCGCGGGGGGAGTTGCGCAGATTGGGGCGGGGACGTCCGGGGGTTTCTGCCCGCGGGGAGGTCGCAGCCCTCTGACTTTGCCTCGGAATTCTCTCCTCAGTGCAATGCTCTCTTCTCTCTGCCCTTTTCAAGGGCAGGGGGCGGGGCAAGCTCTCCCACTACACACGCAGTCGGGCAGAACAAACTGTCGTATCCTAAGCGCCCGGCGTACCTGTCGGCGAAGCCGTGGTTGCGTGGACTCCCGATTGTGTTCCGGGCGCTTGTATTTCGGCTGTGTGCATCCTGACTGTGCTGCGCTTCGGTGGGGGCTCCGCGGGCCGCCCTCGGCCGTCGGTTGCTCCTGCCGCCGCTCACCGAGAGCCCGGCACGCACCCAGGACTGGTCTAGCTCCGGGAACGCAAGGAGCGGGGTCCCCTTCGCAACACCTGTAGTTTTGCTTTATCATTACTCTGCAAAATCCTCAGCTCCCCTGTGGACATAGCACGTTTGGATTCACCGGAGTCTGGCCTTTTGTGTACATCTACCGTAACGCAAGTCTGTTTTCCCATTCCTTAACTTTTCCTGGCGTTATTCTCAGAGGGAGGACTATCCCCGCACCACGCACAGCGCCGCTCTCAGAGCTGTCTCACCTGTGCGCCCACCTGCCCACCTCCCGCCTCTCATCGGTTTCTCTTCCACCGACCTTACAATGCACAGAGCACGGTGCTGTGGTCCTGGCTTTGTTTGGGCGACATACATAAAATCTAAATTCGTAAAGGAAACAGTCCATTGATTGGAAAAGTATCCGTAGACCGGATTTCCAAAGTGAGAATCCTGATGGCCAGTGCCAAGTACAGGCACAGTGTCGTCTGATTGTGAAACACCAGCCAGTCAAAATAGTAACTCTGACTTCGTTTCTTCATTCAGCCGCATGATAAAAAGGGATCACTGGAAAGACCCAAAATGGTAAGTATATACCATTCAAATTTGTACTGGGTAGAGTATAAGGCAAAGTTCATAATGTTTCTTAACAGAACTAAAAAACTGGGAAAGACAAATCTCTTCCATAAGAAAATGGTAAGCAAACCAAGGAGGTAGAATCATGAGGTCACTAAGTTAAAAACCTGAGGAGCGATAAGAGAATTGGTGATTTTCCAGAAGTATCACGAAACCCACTTACCTAAATGTTATCTGTAGTTGCTAATAGTATTTCTTAGTTTGGGAATGGTGTGGGGAGACTTACGTTATACATTTCAGTATTGCTTGACATTTTTTTTTTAATTCAACATACCTAAGGAGATGATTCCTGCTTTAGGAAAAATCGTGAGGCTCCCAGAGTCTGAAACAACCATTTTACCAGCTTAGGTTAGATCCTTTTTGTTTTGCCTGCGAAATGATCAACTAGGTAATGTGACTAATTCAGAGCTGTACCTCACTATCCAGTTGGGTGGCCACTAGTCACACAGTGACGTTTGAGCACTTGAGATGTGGCTAGTGTTCATCGAAATATGCTGCAATGTAACGTACACACTGAATTTCAAAGATTTAGTGTGAAAAGAACGTAAAACATTTTCATAATTTTTTGTACTGATCACATGTTGAAATGATACTTTGGATATACTGAGTTAAATGCAAGTGTTGTTTAAAATTCATTTCATTGGTTTCATTTCTACTTTTTTAAAATACGGCTTCCTGAAAAGAAAATTAATGATCGATGTGGCTCACGTTTGTGCCTCACATTGTATTTCAATGAGACTTGACTGTGCTAAAATACCACAACATGTCATCCCAGTGAACCTTCTAAGTAGCCCTGTCCGGTGGATGTGTTCTACTCCCTACTTCACAAGACTGAGAGGCTAAATTACAGGCCCAAGACCTCAGACCACTAGCCAGTGAGACAGACTTCAGATCTTCTGACTCCCGAGTCCGCATCTGGAAGGAGAGAGGTTCAGAAAATACTCCTCTCTCCAGAGGCGGAAGATCCCCAAGCCCCCAAACCACTGGGAATGTCTCTACAATGTACGCTTTTATACTGTTTTTGAAGAACAAATCTATAGGGAAAACAGTTTTGTAGGGATCTGGAAAAAAGTGGCAAGTGGTTGTCATTTAATCAGAATTTGGTTCTAGACATCCAAATATCCTGTAGTCTTATCTGCACGAAGGAAACTATGGGTATTGATTGGATTAAGATTATCCAGTCATTTAACATGATATAAAGAATAATGGTAAATTCAAATGTTAATGAAAGGCGGCAGGACCAACTGAGAGGACCTGTACCTTCTTAAAATTTATCATTTATTAAGGCTAAACTAAATTCCCAAGGTTTTCAGCCAGAATTCAGAAATTGCCTATTACATGATAATCCCTATTTTTCCGAAAGCTTCCCTGGGGGAACACATAACAATTTATTACAGCCTTTTCAAAAAGCTCATATAGAATCATTTGTAGAATGATCCAGTTCCTCTACTCTGAATTATATTAAAATAGTTGAATTTACGTTTTAGGTTACCTGAAATGTGCACAAAGTTGAAAAAAATGAGAGCAGAAAAGAAATTCAGATTCAAACAATTTATCAGATTTAGGGTTTTTGTTTTTTAATTTTTTAATTTTTCTAAATAGGCTGTATGCCCAGTGTGGGGCTTGATTGAACTCACAACCTGGAAATCAAGAGTCATGCTCTACCAGCTGAGCCAACCAGGCACCCTAGTGTTTTTATTTTTAAGGTAACATTTTAATAATTAATAACATGAGATACATACTAATTTTAATGGTGATAAATCAGCTTTAAGATAAAAGGCAGTAAATAGGTGATTATAAAGTACCAAGGAAATGAAAAAACACATAGTGAATGCAGTCCATGATGAACACACACCATTATATGTAATAAGCCATTATTTGTAATTTTTCTTCTCATTGTATTTGTATTTTATTTTTAAAATTTTTTTTTAAAGCTTAACTTCTTTCTTTCTCACTTTCTTTCATTTTATTTAAGTAATCTCTACACCCAACATGAGGCTCAAACTCATGACCCTGAGATCAAGAGCCGTATGCTCCTCCAACCAAGCCAGCCAGGCGCCCCGTAAAATTTATTATTATTTTTTTTAGTAATCTCTACACCCAATGTGGGTGTCAAACTCAGGACCCTGAGATCAAGAGTTGCATGCTTTTCCTGTTGAACCAGCCAGGCGCCCCAGTGTAAATTTAAAAGGGTGTTTTTTGTTTTGTTTTGTTTTGTTTTTAAAAAAGGATGTTTTAACTTTCACTTTTCAGAACAATGAGTATTGATCCTGAGAAGTTCATTATTTACAAAAGACACATCTGGTCTGCTAGTTGTCATTTGTATAAAGAAGCTGCTGAAATTTCACAAAGGGCTGTGTTCCTTTTTCAAAACAAGTGCATTCCAAGCAGAAATTGTCTTTATCTCTCTTTTCCTTTGATATTTATTTATATTTTATTTCTTAAACCCAGACCATTTCTGTAAGGATTTGGGCATGGAGAAAATTTTCATAAAATTCACGAGTTATTTTATAAAAGTTAACTTGTGAAAGAGATCCCAATGAGCTCCCTCACTCCTTCGATCATGTAAGGACACAGTGAAAAGGTGGCCAAGAAGCACCAGGAAGCAGGCCCTCACCAGACAGAATCTGCAGGCCCCTTGATCTTGGACTTCCCAGCCTCCAGAACTGTGAGAAATAAATGTTTATTGTTTAAGTCACCCAGTCTCTGGTATTTTTGCCGTAATAGCCCAAACAGAGTAAGGCAGGCTCTACTCTATCGTGTTCACTTGATTGCCTCTATAAAGACCCTGTCTTCAAATAGGGTCACATTGTGAGGTACTGTGAGTTAGGACTTCAGCCTATGATTTTGGTGGGGGGGGGGCGGGGAGGAGCACACAATTCAACCCATAACAGAAAGCTTTCAGCTTTCCTAGTCTATTCTACTCAACTGCTTGCTCCTCACTTCAAAGCGGGAGTAGCCAGCATGCACTCCAGGACTGATCAGAGCAAGTACCTGAGTACTCCTGCCATGTGTGTTGTCTTTTCCTTTTTGTGGTCATTTGAACTTTATGTATTAGAAGAAGAGCCAAGCAGTTCCTACATTTTAAAAGGGCTCTCATGCAACTCTTTATATTAGGATCCTAAGTTCTAGCCCCATCATGGGCACAGAGCTTACTTTAAAAAAGCTTAAAAAGGCTCTCAAGAGGAGAAAAAAAACCCCTTTTTTTTTTTAAAAATCTGTTCACTTGTTCTTAATGAAAAGAATACATTTTTAAAGTTTTTTTCACTGTAATATTTATTTTTTGTTATGATTATTTCTTTTTTAAAATTAACCTATAATGTATTTTTAGTTTCAGAGGTAGAGGTCAGTGATTCATCAGTCTTATATAACATCCAGTGCTCATTACGTCACATGCCCTCCTTAATGCCCATCACCCAGTTACCCCATTCCCTCTCCCTCCCTCCCCTCCAGCAACCTCAGTTTGTTTCCTAGAGTGCAGTGTGTCCTATGGTTTGTCTCCCTCTCTGGTTTCATCTTGTTTTATTTTTTCCTCTCTTCCCCTATGATCCTCTGTTTTGTTTCTTAAATTCCATGTATCAGTGAGATCATATGATAATTGTCCTCCTCTGATTGACTCATTTTGCTTAGCATAATACCCTCTAGTTCCATCCACGTTGTTGCAAATGGCAAGATTTCATTTTTTTTGATGGCTGAGCAATATTCCATTGTATATATATATATACCACATCTTCTTTATCCATTCATCTGTTGATGGACCTCTAGGCTCTTTCCATAGTTTGGCTATTGTGGACATTGCTGCTATAAACACTGGGGTGC